TTTTAATGTATGAGAGCGTAATTTTGAGCCATGTCCTCTTCTGCCATTTAAAAAAAGTGTAAAGTTAGTTTGAAATTGTATTGGAAACATTAGTTTGTTAAGAATATATCACAGCTTTTACCTTTTCCTCACAGACTATCCGTACATCTGGAGTGACCTGCATTTTTTTTTTTTATGGGAGTCATCTTTTTCTGCTCATTTTATCTCTTCAATCTGATCTTGGCTGTAGTAACTATCGCATATGAAGAGCAAAACAGATCCAGTCTTGCTGAAACAGAGGCCAAGAAAAAACTGCTTCAGGATGCCCAACAAATTCTAGAGAAAGAACAGGTTTGTAAATTATTACATCAAATAAGTGGTTCCTTTTGTTTTCTTCTGTATGTGAATCAGGGAAATGATGTTTTGAATTAAACATGTGCTTCTTGCAATACTTTCTCACACTTCATTTCTCGTTATGTCTGTATAAATGCATGTGGGTATGTATATATGTATATATGTATTTGAATATATAAAAATTTCTGTGATACAAAAAAACATCATTGAATTTTAGGATTTGCAGACCAGACATTGTATAGGAATGGCTTGCTGGAAGTTTGTAGCTTTTATGGTATTGCGTATGTGAAGAACTCCATGATTTTCCCCATTCCTGTACACTACCATTATTGCTGTGGACAGAAATTCCTTTCTCTGGGTATTCCTTCTTGCTATTACTGTGTAGTCTCATGAAGGAAATATGAGTGGATACATTTACATCCATGAGAAAAATTGTCATTTCTGCAGTTCCCAGAAGTTGGAAGTTCCAGTGCTGACAGAGTTCAGGTCTGATTAAAAAGCCTTCCAAGAGCCACAGTGCTCAGCATTTTAAAGGTTGTCAGGCCTCTTTCTGAGTGATGGGATGCAGGAGATCTATCAGCTGACAAGAGCAGGAATAGTCTTTAGCCAGGATAATGCTGTTTGTTCCATATTAAGTTTCCTCTTGACATCCAGCGACTGCATTAGTGTCTTTGCTGTTGTTTTGGAGAGTTAATAGACACACATCAGATTTCCACAGTGTTTCCTCTTGGCATAATATTGTTCCAATCATTCATGGTCTGTAAGGGACCAGGGAGCACCTGTTTTTATTTCTGATAATCATTCAGTCATGGAATCACAGAATGGTTTGGGTCTCAAGGCACCTTCAAGATCCTCCAGTTCAGGATGGTCTGGAACACCTTCCACTAGACCAGATTGCTCCAAAACCCATCCAACTTGGCCTTGAACACTTCCAGAGATGGGGCATCCAGAGCTTTTCAGGGCAACTTATGCCAGTGCCTCACCACCCTGCCAGGAAAGAATTTATTCATAACATCTAATCGAAATCTCTCTTCTTTCCCTTTAGAACCATTAGCCCCTGTCATGTCACTACTTGCCCTTGTAAAAAGTCCCTCTCCAGCTCTCTTGGAGCCTCTTTAGGCACTGGAAGGGGCTCTAAGGTCTCCCTGGATCCTTCTCTTCTCCAGGCTGAATGACCCCAACTCTCTCAGCCTGTCTCCAGAGCAGAGGTGCTCCAGCCCTCAGAGCATCCCCGTGCCCTTGGGCAGGTCCATGTCCTGCTGATGTTGAGGGGGCCCGGAGCTGGACACAGCCGTGCAGGTGGGGTCTCATGAGAGGGGAGCAGAGAGGGAGAATCACGTCCCTTGACCTGCTGCCCATGCTTCTCGTGATGCAGCCCAGGACACAGTTATTTCTGGGCTGCAGGCCCACGCTGCTGGGTCATCTCAAGCTTCTCATCCACCAGAAGTGAAGCTCTAAGCCAAGGCAGCAGGATGGGTTGAAAATTATTGGTAAGACCTGTTGTATCTTGTAGCTTTTTATAAAAGATACCTCTGATTTACTGCTTGCAGTCAAAAATGTCAGATTTGTAAGAGCAAGTATCCAATTTCCTCATTAAGGTGTCATCATCATGGCTAGGCTTTGCGAATGAAGATTTGAGACTGCCTGGCAGTGCATTAAGGTGTAAGGCATCATCATTTTACCAAGTTCCTCAGCATTCAGACAGCGTAATAATTTAATAGAGTAAAAATTAAATTGAATATTATCCTAGTCCATGTGTTGGCATTTACCTTGTGTTAATAGACAGACCTTTGGCCTTTTCTTTTCCAGGAGGTGGCTGCAGCAGAAAGCAGTAAGGCCTTGCAGGTTGGGTCTGAAATGCCAGTTGGTGCCTTGAAAAATTTGAAAGGAAAAGAGATTATTAAAGAAACACCTATTTTAAGACAAAATGTAATTTTAGATGATCAGGAGAAAGAGGAGCAAATATTTAATTCACAGCCTGGTCACTGCCACAAGAAGCTTGTAAGTATTCAAAATAGAAAATATATTCATTAAGCTTAGGTGTGATATGAGAATTCACTGAGCAGAAAAGCTTTCTTTATTTCCTTTTTTCCCCCTCTCTTTTTTTTTTCTCCTTCTTGCATTCATTGGAATAACTTGTTTTTTAAAGCAATCTGAAAATTGTATTTTGGGATGTGAGGGAGACAGCACTATTGGTACTTGAAAGGGAAGCTAGAAGTGGCTGTCAGTAGTACATGTTATTATTTCATATTGAAATATTTTCACATTATAAAGGAAAAAAATACAAAGGAAAACCTAGAGCATAATCCAAATGGGGTGAGATGCTCTGACATAGAGTTCTTTTATTAGTCAAATAAATACAATCTACAACAAATGTGGCAATTACTGGTGTCTTTCCTGCAACTGAGGACTCTTCAAACAATGTACTCTCTACTTTCATCACAAAAGAGGCTAAAGATGTCAAAGAGAAAAAAGCATATCAGGTAGAAACATTTTGGTAGGACTTAATCAGTTTATAAAAACTTGAATGGACTATTCCTCTAGAGCATATCCCTATTTTAAATCCCCAGTTATTTCCCTCAGCTAAAGACAGATGAGCAGCAGTAACCAGGTCAGTGTTGGGGAACACCCTTGTCCTTTCTAAAAACACTAACTCTGAATGCTTCTGAACAGCTGTGAATTTCAACAGGAAGACCGAGGACTTTAGTCAGGCTGGTACACACATTTTTATGCATTTCTGTCCTACAAGACACCAAACATTAGAGAAAGGAATGAAAGGACAAGTTGCACTGGTAACTAGGACATAATTAGAATAGTCTAAATGAGCCTTTTAGACTCAGAAAAACTACAGAGAGAAAAATGAGCATTTTAGCACTACATTACAAATTCATTTGATATGTCCATTCTATGACACTTCTATCAGCTAAGTTTTGATTATTTTTCATTAAAATATCAGAATGACAAAGAGAAATAATTATTATGAAACCCCTGAGGCCAAGAATACCAGTTTCGTTCCCTGAATAACAACTTTCTAGAATATGTTAATAAAAATCATAATATCAAGAAAGTTTGAAGTAATGGTATGATATATCCTTACTTATACACCCTTCCCACTTTCTCTGGAATTCTTTCTGATTTTCTCTACCTCGGAGTCTCACGTATTCTTTGTAGCCCATGTTTTGTGATTCTCTACTTAATCCTGAGTGTGTGGGTTTTAATGTGTCTGAATATTTAATAATAATTCAGTGTATCCCATAAGATACAAGTGTTGGCCTGTCTGTCCTTGAGCTCACATCAGGAGCGCTGAGCTGAGCATTCTGTGGCTTCTAATGAAAACAAAAGTAGTGCCATTCCTAGTATTAAGCAGTTCAATATTAGTAGAGATCTAGATAGGCCTGGTAGTGCTGGAACAATAATAATTTTTATTAACTACATGTCTATTTTTCATATTAATAAATGTTTATTTTTATTATCAATAATTCTTTGTTAAAAAGGCAATAGTTTATTCAAACTGATGGCCAGTGTTCTTTTTGTCTGTTCTTCTAATCAGTCACGGGAAAGATGGAAGAATTCTTTTCCCTTGCCCCGTTATGTTTCTATACTTCTTCTACAATGACATTATTATTGTTATTAAATATTTTCAGAAGGAAACAACTTCATGAAGAAATTTGCTGGTTTTGATGAAACGCCCTTTGCCTTCAAAAGCAAAGACCTGATAGTGTTGTATTTTTTTGTTTTGCGTTCTTTCACCAAAGTAAAGCTTCCCTTCAATGTCTATTTAAAAAGGCATATTTATCTCATGCTGGACATAATTTTTGTATTGCCAGTTTTTCATATTCCCTTGCTATGTTACCTTCTGCTGTCTTTCTAACCAAAGAGGAAGATCCTGCTGTCCTATGATGTGTCAGTGGACTCTATTAATGATCCTTTCCGAAGACAGAGGTTAATGAGTGCAGCCACTATTCTTAGAGATAATTCAAGTAAGTCATTCTTTCCTGTTTTTCCTATGAGACTGTGTAATGTGACCTGAGAGATCAAACTGTCTCAAACACTCAGCATTATTTGAAAACCACTAGGGGAAATTATGCTGCAAATGTAAACTTCAGGAAAACAAATATTCTCATATCCCATATAATTGTGACTGTAACTCAGTTACCAAGGGTAAATCATGCCTGACCAACTGGATTGAAAGAAGAGAATTTCCAAGTGTGTGTAAGCAGAAACGTTGCCCATTTTCAGAGGAACAGGTTGTGCAGTCTCTGACCTGATTGTTGCCCGTAAACAAAGACACAAACCAACAGAGTGCTGGTTTATGCGGTGCTTTATTCAGGGCCCGGGAATCTGAGGACTAGCGTCCAAAGTCAGAATTCCAAAGACTTTCATTCTCAGTTCAGCTTTTATACACAAACAAGTTTACATGCAGCTCCCACGGCAAAATTGTTAGTTCCCATGGCAAAAACAATTACAGTTTCTACAGCAAACCAGGTGCAGTTGCAAACAAGCTCATACTTCATACTGATAACAATTAATAATCATCTACTCTAATCATAAATCTGCTTAAGTTGTCTTACCCCTAGAAACTGTTTAACGAACCCTTACCACTTCTACGGTACAAATCGTTATATACATGCTTGACTAAATCTTTTGATTATTGTTTCTACTTCTTCAGCACATTCTATTCCTATGAACAAGGTTGTTGCTTCACTACTCTTTTGTCCATAGTTTTCCAGGCCTACAGTTCTATCAAGCCTTAGCCATACTACTACCAGTTGCTAAACTTCAGTTATTTGCAACAAGATGGCTGACCCTGCTTGGAGAAGGGGGTTGCACTACAGATCTCCTGAGCTCTTCTCCAACCTCACTTATAGCCCTGTCCTCAGCTATGGACACCGGTGGCTGTGCAGATTCAACCCACAGGAAACAGGTTGTCATTGTCCCAGAAACAGTGATTTCTCTCCTTAATGCAGATCCTTTATCATCCCTTAATAGTGTAATCACAGAATCATGGAACAGTTTGTGTTGGATTGGACATTAAGGATAATTTCATTCTTACCCCCTGCCATGGGCAGTGACACCTTCCACTAGACCAGGTTGCTCAGAGTCCCATCCAACCTGGCCTTGAACACTCCCAGGGATGGGGCATCCACAGCTTCTCTGGGCAACCTGTGCCAGGGCCTCCTCAGCCTCCCAGGAAAGAATAATAAATATATTAAGAGGTGGGGAATATCCCCTGTTTCTGTCATTATGAGATTTGGTGGTGGTGACCTGCAATAGCTTGTGATTAGTTTGTGTAGTAGGAGTGAAACAACTTTTTTCAGTGATGCCATTCTGCTCACATGAGATTGATTTTTTCTTTCCAATCTTTTCTCTGTCTGCCTTTTTCTTCACACTCTGATATTCCACATAGGGTTATTCATATGCCACTTTCCCTCTTTCTCTGCTAGAGTCAAAAGTGAAATGTCCTGCATTGTGGAAACGTTTTACTCTAAAGTGTCTAGTTTGGAATTGTTGTCCACTCTGGAGAGCAGTCAAAGAGAAGGTGAAATTGGTGATTTTGGATCCGTTTGTTGATCTCTTTATCATGGTTTGCATTATCTTGAACACCTTATTCATGGCTATGGAGCACCCTGACATGTTACCAGAAACCAGAAACATGATTACTATAAGTGATGAGGTAAGTGAGGTCTATGTTAGGGTGAATATGGAGTTATAATCCTGTATTTATACTGGAATAGTCCTATAAGGAGACAGAATTCTTGAGTGACTTTTTCTGAATTTCTTTTTTGTCTTTCCAGGTCTTCACCCTGATTTTTACACTAGAAATGATCTTGAAAATCATTGCTCTAGATCCTTATTACTATTTTCAGAACAAGTGGAATGTTTTTGATAGCTTGGTTGTTTTGATTGGCCTACTGAGCTTTGGAACCAATCTGTCACCTTTCAGGGCGGTAATGATTTCTTTGCTATTTTTTAAAAGCATGTGTTTTGTATAGATTTGTGAAAGATTACAGTGAAATACCTTTTCATTATTTTACTGATGAATCTGTCAAATCAGTTCTCTTTGTTGGTAAATAGTAAACCAACATGAATATTTAATTAAAAAAAATTACTTAATATTAAAGAATATTTTCAATATGTTTATTATACTGTGTATGGTGGATGCTACAAATCCCCTGCACAGTGTGCTCCCAGGGAGATCTGACCCAGCAGAGTTCACTGGTTCTCTCTTAGGTCTGTACAGTGGCACTGCTCAACTACATTTTGGACCTACAATCAGGAGCAGATATTATCTGCCGAGCTTAAGGATAGCAAAGATTCCTTCACAGCTTTTCCTTTTGAGCTGAGATTTGTCAAATAATGGAGCTTTCCTCAGGGCTCAGTCTTGGCCTTGAGGGCTCTTCAGTGCTTTCCTCCATTTTAGGGAGAAAGAGGAATCGTTCTGAGACATCTATGTGTAATAGTAGTTTTGTGCTTATGTCTTTCATGAACATTTATAATGCTAAATTTATTAATTACTTCAAATTCTTCATAGTATTTCAGAGTCCTCACACCTAGAAACGCAGGTGAATTCTGTTTCACCTTTGTATCATGACTGAGAGATTTTCACAGCCCTGAATGCTAATTTGACTAAATACCTCCGTTTTACTCATGGGGGTACATAGGGTAGGTCCCATCTGGCTTTTCAGATCCTATTTTAAGTCTGTTTGGTGAGAGGTGTGAAAAAATATTTGTCTTTAACATTCCATCTAGTCCAAAACTCAGTCATTTCATGACCTTCATCCATGTACTCATAAGATATTTATATTCGTGTTCTTTTTATTGCTATTAATATTATTAGACTGGCACATTCTCATATCTAACTTAGCCCAACCAATTTGAAACCTTTCTGCTCTCACTAATATTAACTGTGCTCAAGCACAGCACTTTTGCATCAAAACAATTAAAAGCCTTTCTTTGGGGAAAAATGACGATGTTACTGCACTAAAGGCAGCAGGATAAATGCAGGGTCTGGTTTTCATGTGGGCTCTGCTGTCTGGGCTGTGTTTGACTTTACCTTTTTTCTCTTGTGTTTTATTTACAGATCAGGATCTTCAAACTGGCAAAGTCCTGGCCAGCCTTAAATACTCTTATGAGAATAATTCTAAACTCATTTGGGGCTCTGAGTAACCTCACTCTGGTTTTGGCTATCACTGTATTTATTTTTGCTATAGTAGGAATGCAGTTTTTGGGCACCGATTATGAAAAAAAATTCCATAAAATAAGCACCAGTAAGGATTTACGCTGGCATATGAAGGATTTCAATCATTCAGTCCTGATTGTATTCCGAATATTATGTGGAGAATGGATTGAAATGATGTGGGAATGTATGGAAGTGGCTGGAAAACAGAAATGTATTACCATTTTCTTGCTAGTCCTGGTGATAGGAAACCTGGTGGTGAGTTTTAAGCTGATTCCCAGTCCCTACTGAATGC